CATCTGACAGCATCAAGTCAACCACAGAGGAAAGAAAACGACATTTCTTTCAGTTTAAATAAATCTGTGACATTCAGAAATACAGTTACTGAAATACTGTTTATGATAATATTTGTTGTTTTGCAGTAAATTGACACATTTATTTATTTGTTTTGCAGTGATTTTGTTTTCTTTGTATGGAATCAGCTCCTTTTTTATTTTGTTAGTTTAGTTTTTCATGCACATCACTTCTTTTTTATTCTTTGACATTTGTATAATTGTTTTACAATAAATTGATCCTTTTGTTTCCTTTATTTTGGCAGAAAATTCACACTTTTTTTTGTTTTTTTGCTGTTTTGCTGTAAATATTTTTTGGTTGTTTCTGCAGTAGTTTCACTCCGTTTGTTTGTGTTTTTACTGTTGTTTACAAGGAGAATATTTAGTGACTCCAAACAATATTTTAGCAATTTAAAGTGAAGACATCGCTTCATTGGCTTCCAGTCGCTGCCCGCATCAAATTCAAAACCCTGACACTTGCTTATAAAAGCACAACGAGAACAGCTCCCTCCTACCTGAACTCTCTCATTCAGATCTACACTCCCTCCTGCTCACTACGCTCGACCAACAAAAACCTCCTGATACGACCACCACAGCAGGGCCCGAGGTCGATAGCTAGACTCCTCTGTGGTTCCCCGGTGGTGGAACGAGTTACCAAACTCTGTTCAATCTGCTGACTCTCTCTTAGTCTTTAAGAAAAGACTAAAGAGCAGCTCTTCACTGAACACCTTTGCACTTGACAGACTGAAAACAAACAAACAAGAAAATCCTGTTACCTCCCACACAGCCTGCTATCAGCATCAACGCCCTAACGCGCTTGAACTTGTTCAATGGCACTTATCCAGATTGTTTTCTCCTGACCAGATCCTTGCTTGTGTTGTATCTGCTCTCAGATGTACGTCTGCTAAATGGAATTGTAGAATTATAGACATTGTGACAGTTTACTCCACACTTGTTTTACAGGCAGACAGGAGATAAAAATGTGCATTAACTTTTTAAAATCTGTGCTTCAGTTGCTTCACATCTGTGAGTCACATTAAGGTCCATCACCTCCATGAATTCTGCTGAATTCAGCCTCACTGAGCAGACTGGACCGTTTCCATGCAGAGAAGAAGGAAGTACTCTGGGTGATTCTGTTTACAGCCTCCTGCTGTGTGCTGATGGCCAAGCTGAGGCCGGCGGGCCGTGCAGAGGCCCTGCGGTGGAGATCAGAGGTCGAGGAGAGTCTGTGAGTCCGTCACTGCAACGCTGGTCTGTTAGATACTGAAAGAAAAGAAGTGAGACAGAAAGGAAG